GAAATTTTGGACGCACGGTTCATTAACTCGGTTCTCCCGGCCTCGGGTGGGATGGAGGAGAGAGCTGGGGAGAAGCAGAGGGGCTGGGGAAGGGGAAGGGGAAGGGGAAGGGGAAGGGGAAGGGGAAGGGGAAGGGGGAGGGGGAAAGGTCTGGGGGAAGGGATGGAGAGGAGGAAGGGGAAGGGAGAGAGAAAGAGGGGAGGGGAGGGGAAGGGGAAGGGGAAGGGGAAGGGGGAGGTGGAAGGGGAAGGGAGAGGGAGAGGAATAAGTGGAGGAAGAATGAGAGAGAGAGAGAGATACACGGAGAAGAGAGAGAGAGAGAGAGATAGAGAAATAAAGAGAGGAGAGAAAGAGAGACAGAGAGAAGAGGGAGAGAAAGAGAGACAGAGAGAAGAGGGAGAGAGAGAAGAGAAGAGAGAGAGAAGAGAAAGAGAAGAGAGAAAGAGAGAAGAGAAGAAGACAGACAGAGACAGAGAAGAGAAGAGACAGAGAAGAGAGAGAGAGAGAGAGAGAGAGAGAGAGAGAGAGAGAGAGAGAGAGAGAGAGAGAAAGAGAAAGAGAAAGAGAAAGAGAAAGAGAAAGAGAAAGAGAAAGAGGGAGGGAGAGAGATTGCGTGCGTGCGTGTGTGTTTAGTTTGTGTGGGATTAATTTTGGATTTTCTCTCTTATTCCGTGAAACAGCATCATCATCACAAAATAAGTCATTCCCAATACCTCTGAGTTTCTATCCCTCTCTCCCTCCGTCTGTCCATCTCTCCTTTTCCTCCCTCCCTTCCCCTCTCCTCTCTCCCTTTCTGCCTTTCTCCCTTTCTCCTCTCTTCCTTCCCTCCCATCTCCCCTTCTTTCCTCCCTCCCTTCCTCCCAATCACCCTTCACCTCCCCTCCTCCTTTCCTCCCCCCTCCCTCCCTTCCCCCTCTTCTTTCCCCCCCAAGTGAAAACGAACGCAAAGCTCCCACAGAACGGCCACTGTTCTCGAGAAACCAAGACCAGAAAGAAGTCCGCCTGCCGCCTCCGCCTGCCTCCTCCGCCTGCCTGTGTCCCTCGATCCCTCCCCAGTCCGTGTGTCATAGGAGAGAGGGTCTGCTGTTGTCTGGCTACATGTTTTACTCGACGTCGGCGCGTGAGACTTCAATTTGAGTCCTCCCTTCAAACCCGCTCGTTCGCGTTTGTTTATTCGAGTCAACGCGCCCTCTCTCTCTCTATCTCTGCTCTATCTTCTGTCCGTCCAACCTTCTTTATCTCTTGCTTTTTCTTTCTTTCTCTTGTTATTTCTTTCTTTATCTCTCTCTCTCTCTCTCTCTCTCTCTCTCTCTCTCTCTCTCTCTCTCTCTCTCTCTCTCTCTCTCTCTCTCTCTCTCTCTCTCTCTCTTTCTTTTCTTGCACACACTCTTATCTGCTCTCCTTCCCCTCTAAAATCCACACACACTCTCACTCACTCACTCACTCACTCACTCTCGCTCTTGCTCTTACTCTCTCTCTCACTCTCACAACGAATTTTCGTCTTTAATGCTCATTACATATATCCACAACAACCATCTACCTCGCCCCCTGCCCAAAGAAATAACAAAAAAAAAGACATTAGAGACAAAATCGCCAGCGCCATTGTGTACCACGAGTCTCTGTGGCCACGGATTCGTCGCTTCAGTAACGATAAAAAGCCAGAGTGTCATCAGAAAGTGTGTCTGACAGTCGCTTTTTATCCTACCTTTTAACTTCGCATAAATGGACTCTGTCTCCGTCATTTAAAATAAATTGTTTTCGTAAAAAATGTGGCTACAAAAGCAGCTCCATCCTCTGCCCATCCATTCCTCTCTCTCTCTCTCTCTCTCTCTCTCTCTCTCTCTCTCTCTCTCTCTCTCTCTCTCTCTCTCTCTCTCTCTCTCTCTCTCTCTCTCCCATTCCTTTCCTATCTCTCTCTCCCTCCCTCTCCTTTCTCTCTCTTCCTCTACTACTACTACTACTACTACTACTACTACTACTACTACTACTACTACTACTACTACTATAACTACTACTATAACTACTACTATAACTACTACTACAACTACTACTACAACTACTACTACAACTACTACTACAACTACTACTACAACTACTACTACAACTACTACTACAACTACTACTACAACTACTACTACAACTACAACTACTACTACAACTACTACTACAACTACTACTACAACTACTACTACAACTACTACTATCATTATTAATGTCACTGTCATTATGATTCTTACTATCATTATCAACAATAATAAGATGAATAAACAAGACACCTGATATCTGTCACTAAAAGGTCCACTATCTCGAAATGGAAGCATGACACTATTCCCACCTCTGGATTTCCCCTAATTTCATTACAGCAATGGATATCATCCACCATTGAGTCAATCATCCACCACTGAGTCATTTCCTTTCCCTATGGCTTCATTCACGGCACTGCAAACCTTCATCCCTATCCACTGTGTAGAGATTGTGTGGATGGATTTACATGAGTGTTAAAAATGGTCTACAGAACTTATCAAAAGACTTCTTTTCACAACACTTTTTACAGAATACTATGCACAACCCTATCTCATCATATCTTTCATGTTTAGAGTGGTGTGCATGTGTCCAGTCAATGCACTCGAAACTACTACTACTACTACTTACTACTACTACTAAAGATTAGACACCACTGATAATTGGTGTTTATCTTTTCCCTGAGATAAAATAACATTTTACACATGAAACCACTATTGATTTCTGAAGAAAATTTCCAAAGAAATAATACAAACATTGGATGAAAATTCCAGATAATGCAAAGATAAAGAAAATGAGCAATTTGTAAATGTAAAAGACATTCCATCATTCAGTGCATACCAAAGCAAATATGACATGTATGTAGGTTATTCAAAAGACAGATTTACTATCTTAATCTTGTAATTCACTAATCACATCTTATCACCATTTGTATTCTGTATTCTTCATTAACACCCAAATCTAACACTGGCCTCTTTTTGTACTAACTACAAATTGAATATAGTATTCGCTATTACTCCTGTTTTTTGTGGATTCTACCAATGCACAATTCTTACTTTTTAAAAATTATTTCTTTTTACAAGTACGGTCTATACTTATAGTGTTGGTGATGATTTTCACTGGGTAAATGAAATACTTTTCATTAAGGAGAAAAGCACAGAAAATCTGTTAAAGTACGAGATAGGACAATTTGTGAATGCATAAGGTAACTTTTGAAATATAAACTATTAAAAATCTAAGAACCTAGATTGGCTTTTTAGTTTTAATTTTCTCAGTTTTCTCTTGTTACTACTCAAGATGGTAAGCAAGGGTCAGGCTTATCTCATGAGATATGGCATGCCTATTGAAGAGTTTGTAACGGTTATTAATGGTAATATCTTAATATATTCCCAGTTTCTTGCTTATTTAAGTGACTTTCAAACTTCACAGACTGATATATAAAAATAGTAGACAGATACAGGTATTGATCTACTGATACATGATAAAAGAATGACCCATAATAATTTGAAAAAAAGGACTTTAACTAAACATGCAAGGAACGGTATGGTTATCACACATTACTCATGTAAATGTTTAATCCATCCAAAAGACACAGATGTCATTTTTTGTTTTCTAGAATTTAGAGAGACCCTCACTTTCCAATATAAGTGGAATATACTGTAATGGTTCGAACAATAACACAACACGGTGGTAGAAATATTAAAAGAATACTACTTTACATTGTAACTCAAATAAGGCTCTCTGTTTTATAGAATAATCTACTTATATAAAGGAAAAAGTGTAGTAAGATACAAAAAGATGCAAGACCAATGTCCTGTAGTTGAGTTCCCATTCAAAAAGAGGAGGTAAATGTCTTCATTAGGAGTGGTATGATACATTAACTAAGTGAAGGTTTAGGTGAAGGTTTAGGTGAAGGTTTAGGTGTATGATAAGGTTCAATTCAGATAGGACAGAGGCAGATGGAGTAAGGAGGGTTCAGTCAGTGAGGACGTGATCCCAAATATAATAATAATTATCCCAAATGACAAGAGACTGCATTTAAAACAGGTTTGTCTAGCTGACACTCCGTTCTGAACAAAGCTCTAGGATCAATAGATTTCCTGACGTCAGATTAAGACAGGATAATAAACAACTCATCCGAAAACCCATTTCCAAACGCTGGTCAGGTTGCCGGCCAAATACCCACAACCCGAAAGGAAAAATCGTCACAAGAGGACCTCCATAAGCGACCCGACCAGGAGCTGCACCTCTCTTGCCCGAAATATAACCCGTGACAACCTTCCTGCCGTGGACACAGCTCTCTCTCCTACATCCCCCGCGAATAACAACACCGCTCATCCCGTGTTGCAGGGAGTTGCAAAGCCCAATTGCAAAGACCACGCCTACACGACCACCAGAGGCGAGTCAAAAAACCCAGAGCCCAACAAAGACTCGCTCATTTCTCTCCACAAAACAAACTGAAGATCCGTACTTACCACTCTTGAACACCTCGGGAGTGTCCGGATCCGAAGAGTCGTCGCTAAAATGCTCCATGGTGACGCCCTCCGCATCAAATCCGCCGTTAAATCGAGGAATTACATCTCGCCTCCAGAAATTCGATCACAAAAACAACACGCCATGACAGACGCCGACGTGGGGGTGGCATCTTCCGGATCTTGTGTTTTGATTTTGGTTTTCGGATTTTTTTTTTCATTTTGGGATACTGTCCGTGTGGTGTGAATGTGAGTGCGATGAATTAGATTTTGGTTTTTATTATTTTCGTTTTGATTTCCCCTCTGAGTTTGGTGAAAACGTCATATATTACATAATAAAACACGGATCATTACCTTTAAAAATTTAAAGTATTTCAACCCAAAACAACACAGAGCTGATTGTATTCACTCAAATCATACAAATTAGCCATAATACTGTAGATACATCCGCAAAATGGGTCACATAAACAAAAAATAACGATTTGTTTACACATATTTCGAAGATGTACCCCCTAACCCCAGGCGTCATGGCTGCTTCAAATCCGTCGACACTCCTTCCTCTCGGTAAAAATTCGGAAATTCGCCCATTTTAAGTGTATATTTTACGTGTCTTTATTTTACGAAGAGGCTTTGATATCTGGGGAGTATATTGAGCTATTGTGGCTATATTTAAGTTATTGTTATTCATAGAATCGGAGGATTTTGTGTCGTCTCGTGTCGCCTTCGGTGCAGTTTGGAACTTAAGGGTTTGTTTTCATTTCTTTTTCTTGTTCTTTTTCTTTCTTTCTTTTTTTGAAGAGCTGTTGTATTCTCAGCTCGAGGGACCGATGTCTGGGCACGTCGCTGAAACTTCAACATTGGAAATTCACTCTATTTCATGGCTTATATGATCCGACTATCCATTTCCGCATTTTGCAATTCCGTTGGGGGTTAAGAATACGTATAAATGCTTGCAATTTTACGCCAACACCCCTATAGATTCAGAGCAGTCAGAGCCAAGGTAATCCCGTTCTAGTGACACCAAGCCGTTTTGTCTGAATTGTGAATCATCCAACCTATGAATGATAATATCTAGTTGCAGTTCTTGTTGCAATATCGAGTGGTCATTGTGGTCTCCATTCCTGACACAGGGCAACAAACCTTGTAATAGTTTTGCATGTAAATTCTGACAAGATAATGCTTGTGAATGTCTGTCAATTTATTTTCACACAAGGATTTGGTTCAAGTTCTCTTATCATGATGTGCATATACTGGAGGCTTGCTTACCTTTGTCAGAGCATCAACAGGTGTGGAGGCCATGTGATTACTTTATATCCTGCCATCCTATTTGTTGGCAATAGCATCACTATGATTGCGATATACAGAGTGATATCGTGTATTTAAGCAGTATATTATAAGTAAAACTAGAAATATCTAAGTTTTTGTGGAAACATGGAGAACATTGAATAGTACGTAAATACTGGAAACACTTCCATTGTCATGACCACCTTAGTTTGAAACTCCACTAGCTCTCATGAAACCACAGTTTGGTTTATCTTAACATTTTGGCAAATTGCAGCTGATATTCTTGACAAGGAGAAAAAGTTGCAGTTGCCTGTGCAAGAAATAATGTGCAGTCACAAATGGTAATGCCAAAATAAAGCTCTGTAGAATAAATTCTGTGATGGAGTTAGGGAATTAGTCTCTGGCAAGTGCATATTTATTGTGAAGAATGATCCTAATTCTAATCCACAATAAGGAGAGATATAAGGAATTTATTCTCCAGAAATACATAAGTCTATACAATTGTGATAAATAGGCCAGTTATCATCGAGAGCCCTTTCACAAAAAAAAAATGTGTGTGTTTATATGTAATTCTTTATGTACAGATGCACTTGTCAAAATCCCCATCTCCACTTCACAAAATATATGCAACAATCTAAGTTGCCATGACTGGGCATGCCTTTTGGGCGCTGTCTGAGGCAAGGGATGATCGATGCTCTGCCCCCCAACAATCTCTGGAAAACAAGGCAAGAGAAAGCTGAAACTCAGGAGCACCAAGTAACCTCAGGCTGTTAGAAGCTCATTCTACGATCTCTTTCTTTTATTTGCGGTGTTACCATTTGTGTCTCCAGGTTATTTCGTGTACTGATGATTGCAACTTCTTTTGCTCTACAAGAATATCTCCTTCAATTTGCCCTAGTTTAATGCATCTATATATCAATCATATATATTGCAATAATCACATCTCTCTCTCTCTCTCTTTATTTATTTTTTTTTATCTGGAAGACTACAGTCAAGAGCTACAAACAGCTGACTCAGGTTTTTGCTCAACATGGTCTTGGGGGTTTGGGGTATTGTTTTTATACCTGCTGCAAAAGAAAAATGTATTTCCCACTACCTGGTAAATA